TAGGCATCGCTAACAGATTCTTAGTGGTATACCCTGTCATCTGATCGATATCTCTATTGAATCTTTGGTCTTCGTAAGCGTCGGGAATGTTGAGCGCCTGACCCGTCTTCGCGACCGTACCGGCGATTCCGGTGCCGATCGGGAACCGAATCTCTTTCTTTGTAATCGCCGGGTCATCACTATTAGCCTGTATTTCATGAAAATTGCATTTTTTAAATAAAACTTATTTATTAATTGATAATTATTGTATTCATCACTTTTAAAACATGTGCAATTATAATATATTTTATTATGTTTGTTATATCTGTGAGTATATTCTTCATCAAGTAATTACTTTTATCGAATAAACTAAACCGATTTGTAGGCAATATTAAACACAAATTTGGTGTTTTATTTGATTGTCATGTTATAGCGGCTTCTGTTATTGGGTCTATTCTTTGGCCATACAATTGACATATGTTTATCATAAATTTTGGTCAAATTGAATGCAAAATACTTGTATTAGGAAACTAATCTACACATACTGTATATTGATAGGAATCGTATACATTAAACATGATGGTTTGAAGTGTACTTAATACTACAGAGTTTTACTCTGTAATGTATACCAAGTATGGTATGGTTATTGTCATACGTTTTTTGTATAAATCTTATATCGAAAGCACACATTTAAATGCCATAAACTACTGTAGTAATTGAATGCATAAATTGCAATTCAAAACACATGTAGTGTTTTTATATATACCTTATTATCGTTCACTTCAAATATATGTGCGTAAAGTTGTTTATCATTTGAGTCGACCAGAAATAGTGACGTCCTGTCGGCACTCACCAGTGTTTTTGCGTATTCCTAACCATATATTCAATACATTAATATATTTTAACTAAATATTTATTGTTTAATCAATTATGATCTAAATCTAAATATATTAATATGCATAGTGTTGGTCACATCTATCATTTAGACCTATAAAATATCCTAAACAAATGTGAATACAGTTTCTCTAATATAAGAAAACAATTTAAATTTACAATATTTAATGAGCTTTAAAAATATTTGTCCTTGCATTTGATGTTCACCTAGATGGTTGGCATCTAACAAATAAATAAAATCTATTCAGTCATTGATAGCTCGCAACTTAATAATTGGCCATAAAATTACTTATTGAATATAATTACTGTCATAATTAAAGTAATATTTTTATATTAAAGTAATGTCACCCTGTTTGTATTGCCGATAGCATTGTGTGCAACCTTATAATCAGTTAATAAGTGTTGTAATGAATAAATTAGTGTTCAGTCACAGTGTGGACGTGTGGACACTCTACACATAATTCCCATTTGATTTCTTATATATTGGAGATTAGAAAACTAACCATAATTTTAGCGATAACTGTCTCCATACTTATCATGTCTTGGAATATGGATCTGTTAATTATAACAATAATGTTTCCATAAGTATATAATATATCATAATTATATTAAATAACAAAGTAATAAAAAAAACAAATCACATTAACATTATACTGTACATGTATATAATTGCAACAAATTAATTGTTATATAAATATTCAAATCATGACTTACTTAACTACTGTCAACAGAAATGTGTTTAATTTTCTCTGTCGCGACAGATTTGCGAATAACTATAATCAATGAAAAACAATTGTAAAAAACATTAAATTCATTATAAGTATAACACATTGTGTGTGTATTTAAATAGTAAACAAAATGCATTGGTGTATAATTTGTGTAAAATAAGCACATATTTTAATTATATGGGTTAAAAAGTTTGCAAAAGTTTTTTTCTATTGCATAAAAATGTTTGATTCAAAAATAATAATAATGATGAGTTGTGTCAGTCATATGAAAATGTGTGGTACACTATACAGTGTACATGTCGTGTCATTTACGTGTGTATAGTGTACTGGTATTACGTTTAGGAGACAAACACCACAAAAATATTTAGAGATCAATCATTGAATTAATTAGAAAACATCGGAAAATCTCATGAATTATTCAAAAGCAAACAAAAAACAAGAAAAGAGAGAGAAAAACATTTTTCCGTTAATTCTAACCTTGAGATTGATATTAATGTTTGCGAATTAATTAATACTAGATTTGCATCATTACTACGGGTGTAAGGGATATACAACATCACTGGCGGGTCCCGGGAAAAGGTAGATGTGGATGTGATGTGGGCAAAGTTTTATTGCATTACATGTCTGGATACAAATATTGTGCAACACATCCAATACATACACCGGACAAAAGTTTATTAGGCAATGTATTGCAATGGTAATAGAATTTGATTTCTCAAATTTAATAATATTTGTATACAAATACTGCACTAAATCATGATTTTATGCCCACTTTTTTATGAACATCTATGCAATAAAATAAGCAGTAGAATAAAGCGTGTCTGACATACAGTACAGTGTATGTGTGAATTAAACATAATGTTATGCGATGTTAAATAAATCTGTGTATGTAAATTAGACACCTGGTAGATTATTTTAAATATGATGGTATACCTCAGCGTAGTGTAGAGCCATTGCGCCCCAAACTAAATAACTTTGGACTATCTGTCAAAACAAATACAACCAAACATTCAATTAAAACATATTTTTAGTAAATAAAAATATTCAGTGATTTTTTTTATTGCAATGAACACGTAATTCGGATGTCATATATATAAGTGACAATCAATTATAAGATAAAATCAATTTTTCCTCAAAATTCAGTCACATGTTTAGCGCCGTAACTATTATTAGCAGTGATTTTGCGATAATTATATATATTTAATATTTGGTGTCAAAATGAGTGTCAATGATATGGTTAGGACATCGATGTGTTTCTAAAACCCAATTTATTATTATTATAATTATGAAGTTTATTACCTCTTCGTCCTCATCCATGAAAGGACCCGAGCCTTTGGTTTTGTATAACTCTAATATACCTGAGGGGCGATACAAACGAGTCAAACATTTAATTATCACAATATATTAATTAGATTATAATTATATAGTATGAGAATTAATTATAGTCTATCTCTTGGCAATCACGTGACTTAATTGCGAGTGCAATATAATGTACAGGATTTGTGCCGTACATGTTGTTATATTAAATATAACAACATGTATTTACTGAATAAAAGGATTATAAGCATCTTAATGCAAGTGATGGAAAATCCAAACAATTAATTTGTCTGCAGATCAAGAGTTGGAGAGAGAGAGAGAGAGAGAGAGAGAGAGAG